CATGAACATTTTGACCTTCCCATATGTAGTATTGTGTATGTGATAAGTTTGGTTATTGAGTTATGAGAAGATGACATATTCTCCTCAACTAATATATAGAGAATATGAATACCTCATGCCTTGTGGAAAGAGGTGAAAACAGATATAATTATTTGTTTATATTAAACTAAGCCGAATTAGACCACACATGCGAAATTGTATAATTGATATAGATTTTAATTTACTTTGTTAGAAATATTATAGTTGGTATGGTATCTTAGAAGGGAAAGAGTGGGCCACTTGCGATATCTAACTGTGTAGATTATAGATATGAATGTATATAATTATATGCATATAGTGTGTAGTAGGAACAAAATGAAATTTTTGCTTACTTGCATTCGAATTCAAGATAATAAGTTTTTGCTATATAAACTCTGTAGTAGTAATAGCTTTAAAGTTTTCCAATGTTGATATATTGTCTTGTAAGGCTCAATGTTTCTCTTAAAAAGTATGTCACATTTAACATCTACATAATAATGTGTCATCATCAATTATTATAAGTATATTTGATGATCATTAGCTCAGCTCTTTATTCACTCAATTCCAACATTAATGTTTGTAACGACAAAATGGGCCTTTGAAAAAACTATGTGGAACCTATTTACGGCCCATTATAATTTTTATGAGACTTGCTTACTATACAGCACCACACCACCAGTAAGCATTTCTATGGAACCCCAAATCTAACGGAAGAATCCGATGTCACTGATTCGTGTCTCCCGCCACAATCGATCCTTCTTCGTCTCCTTCACGCGCCGCCTTCACGTCGCTTCTTCCGACGGAACAGTCTCCGCTTCTTCCCCGTCGCGGCTCCGAGACCATTACAATTTTCAACCACCACCACCGCCTTTATCGTCAACCTCCGAGGTTCCAAACCCTAGCAATAAGAAGAAGCCGAAGCCGCAATACCGTCCACCTTCGTCTCTTGAAGGTGTGAAGAAGGTTCACTCCGATCTCCCTTTCGATTTCCGGTTCAGTTACTCGGAGAGTAGCTCCAATGTGAGGCCGATTGGACTGAGAGAACCCAAGTACTCGCCGTTTGGTCCTGATCGATTGGACCGGGAATGGACCGGTGTCTGTGCACCGGCGGTGGACCCGAAGGTGGAGTCGGTGGATGGAGTTGAGGATCCGAAGCTGGAAGAGAAAAGGAAGAAAGTGAGGGAGAAGATCCAAGGTGCTTCCCTCACTGAAGCTGAAAGGAAGTTTCTGGTTGAGATTTGTCAGAGGAACAAAACTAAAAGGCAAATCAATCTCGGTATTAACCTTTTCATCTCTTGCTATGAATTTGTGGAACAATGATACATGTTGGGAAATTCGAAAGGTGTCTTCTTGTCAGGACAAAATGCCCAACTTTTTAGAGAAATTGATTATCTTGTCTCTAAGTTGGAGTCTTTTTTTGTAGATGCACTGATTTGATTGCCCATGATTTTGGTATAGTGTGTGTGTTTCTGTGACAAGTGATTGCTTTGGGGGGGTATGTATGTGTAGGGAGAGATGGCTTGACTCACAATATGCTGAATGATATCTATAATCATTGGAAACATGCTGAAGCAGTTCGAGTCAAATGTCTTGGAGTCCCAACTCTCGATATGAAGAACGTTATCTTCCACCTTGAGGTATTCGTCTTTTACCAATCTATGTCCTCCTTTCACTTGATCCATTTAGTCTCTAGCTAAATGGGGAAACTTAAGAATGACTTATATCATACCATGTTGCTTGCTGCTATAGGATAAAACGTTTGGACAGGTTGTTTCTAAACACTGCGGTACCCTTGTGCTATATAGAGGGCGGAACTACGATCCCAAGAAAAGGCCCAAGATTCCATTGATGTTGTGGAAACCTCATGAACCCGTGTACCCTCGGCTGATTAAAACAACAATTGATGGTCTAAGCATCGAAGAGACCAAAGCAATGAGAAAGAAAGGACTAGCGGTTCCTGCCCTGACAAAACTCGGTGCATACCCTTTCCGTGCCTTTTTTTTTTGTTATAATTTTAATGCCGGTGGCCTGGTGGGTATCAATCAATATACTTTATCACTTTTTCCTGAAATCTTTTGTTTCAGCCAAGAATGGCTATTACGGTAGTCTTGTTTCGATGGTGAGAGATGCTTTCCTCGTGAGTGAGCTGGTACGAATTGATTGCTTGGGACTTGAAAAAAAGGATTACAAGAAGATTGGAGCAAAGCTTAGAGTGAGATGTTTGTCTCTGTCTCTTTCGCTTGAGGTTACTGTGTTGCGCAAACACTAACATTAAAGTTTGTGTGAAGGATTTGGTCCCTTGCATTCTGGTGACATTTGACAAGGAGCAGGTCGTGATTTGGAGAGGTAAAGACTATAAGCCACCCGAAGACGAAGGTGAGTATCCGTCCTTGATTCATCGCAAATCATCCATAGAGTCCGATGCCGGTTTATGTAGTAGAGAGGATTAAGTAATCTTGATCCCAATTGTATGTATAGTTATATTGTATCTTTAGGTTTTGATGGGTTAACTTCTTGTCTTGTTTAAAAACAATCAAAGAAAACAGTTTTCATTGTTTTTTAAAGAAATAAATAGTATTGTTAAGGAGGTAAGTAAGTTAAGAATCTCAACAAATATTAAAAAAAAAAAAAAATCCAAATGAGATAAACATAAATCTAATCGGAAAATTTTAAAAATATCAATCTGTTGGTTCAGAAGACAGTCTTGAGAGAGAGAACTTGTGTTACCTTTCATCACTGGAAGGAGTTGAAGAATTTTCGTGAATTCCCAAGTATAGAGAGAGAGTTTATTGAATGCCTCTACTTGGCTCATTTGTTGTTTCCTGATTGCTTCTCTCCGTTGACGACGAATCCTCTCCTTCCACTTGTACTCTTTTTGGTCGAGTCTATGGCTTCCTTGAGCGAGCTTAGGTTCAAACCAGAATCCTCCGAGCTTTCAGGTTTCATCTTTACTCTTGAGATTCCTCTTAACAAAATTACAAAACTTTTATGTTTCTGTATCCTATTTATATAGAGAGGTTAAGTGGTTTGGACCGTAATATGGGCTTCTTTTTTTTTGTATTGAACAACTTAGTTTTTATTTGAAACACTCACATATGCTGCAGAAAAAGAATATATTTTTTTTTTTTTTGTCAAACAGAAAAGATATTTAAGACATACATAGTAACAACAAGGCCTAAAATCTTAGTTCTTATTTCTTAATAATATTCATTCACATTCTAGCAAACAATTTAAATAAGAATTCGACCAAGTATAATAAATTAATACGACAAGGAGAAACATATGGGCTACCTATAATAAACATCTCAAATTGACCGACATTTGTAGAACAATATAACATCATTCTCGTTTTATCACTCTTGAGGCAGAGCCACTGGTCCCCGGCGGTGGCTGAGATGGCATTTGATCACCGTGAATAAACTCACGCGGCAGAGCTTGGAACTCGCCGCCGCCACTGCCTATACTGGACGATGATGGCACGCCAAAAAATTGATCGGACGGTCGTGGTTGCTGTTGCTGCATGCCCCACATGGACGACATGGGCTCGAAGATGGAGGAGAGGTCGTACACCGACGACGTTGATATTGTGGGGAGGTCCGATATCGAAAAAGGCGGCGGAGATCCGGAAGAAGTCGCTGGAGCTGGCGGTGGTTGTGGCAGCTCTAGAGTTGCTAAGTGTGCTTGTAGATATGAAAGCTCATTTTGCAAACTTAACACCTGTTTTTTTCATTTTTTAACCAAGTGTAAATCATACAAAAGTAGATAAATATGCTTCTAGTTGATAATAATGCCAAAAGATAATAAAGAGAGATAAGAATCTAGACAATAATATTTCAAGCAATATTTAATTATTGGAAGAGTTTCCGAATCCGAGCAAATGTTTTGATTCACTAATGCCAAAAACTTGCGTCAGGAGTAATTGATCATTCAAGACCACCGATTTAGAAAAATATATACGGAATCAAACAATCTATTAATAACACAAAAACACACTATAGATTTATAAAATAAAGGCTTTGCTTGTAATATTAAAATTATCTATACATGTCTACATGAAAGTACCTATGTACACTGCAATTTAAACAACAAGGTTGTTGCGATTTGTCATTTCAATGGAATATGATTAAACTTTGCAAACAATTAACAACACTACCAAATTTCCAATGCATATGATAAATGTTCGTTTTACTTCCTTAATCCTATCTAATTTACTTCAACTTTAGTCATTTTAATCAAGGAAAATAAGAGAGGCCTTGATCTATTATGTAACACATCGGATCATGTGAA